GATAGATTGATAGATAGATAGATAGATAGATAGATAGATAGATAGATAGATAGATAGATAGATAGATAGATAGATAGGGTAAAAGAAGAAAAGGCTGACAGATGGACAGAGAGACGTAGTAAGAGCGGGAAAACAGATGAGAGATGAAAAGGTACATAAGAGGGTGAGAAGGATCGTCAGGGGTGGGAGAAAGAGACGAAACATGAGTGGGGGCAGGAGGAGGGGGGAGGGAATGTGAGGAGAGAAAAAGGGAGCGGAGGGTGCGTGAGTAGGAGAGATGCACACCCGTTAGAGCAGAGAGATAGAAAAAGAGATACATGTATAAATAATCTAGAGACAGACGAGCAGAAAGACAGAGAGTGACATGGACACAGAGAGGAGACAGTTACGGGGTGGGGGGAAAGGGGAGAGAGACGGGGGCGGGGTGAGAAATGACAAGAAATCATTGCAACATTTCCCCAATCCTGTGGGCCTGAAAACCCTACATCAATAAACACATCAATTTTGAACACTGGTGGACACACCCATCTCAAAAATACCTCACATGTTGTTGACACGGAAACTCAAAACCCAGAACTGCAGGAATTTTAACCCTACCACATTGGAGTCCAAGTGCTTACACACAACCGACCACTCCCCGCGATTTAATATGTCATCTCTGGAGAAAGAAGAGAACGTGCTTTATTTTAAAAAATACACGTACGAAACCATTCTTCTTCCATTGAATAAAAAACCTCCCAATTAAACAATAACTGCAGAACAAATAATACAACACTGAATACGAGTTGGCAGAAAAGAATCACCAACTCACTTTCATGAAAAGATTGTTACTTTTGTCTCTCCGAAACAGGTTCAATTTTGAAGAACAAGTTTACAAGAGAATAGAAAATGGAAACAAGACTCCTCCCTCTAAAAACAGCAGTAAAGCAAACGAACAATCCCCCACCCAACAAAACAAAACCATCCCCAACCCCACCCGAAAAAAACCCAACCAAAAAAAACAAACAACCCTCCAAAATCTAACAGGCGATCTATCTAATGAGCAGACAAAATCATCTCACAGGCGTTGCGTTGCGTTCGGAGCAACGCACATGCAGCAAGTGACCCTAATTGACCTCTGGGTGCAACCCCTTCGCCGAGACCAGGAGGGTTAATTCCCCAAGGAGTCAGTGTGTACATCTCCTAACTAGCGCTAGCCGCAAACATCTCGCTTCTGTGTGGTGTGAGGGGAGGACGAGGACAGACAGCCAGGCAGTCGGACAGATGGACTGACAGCCAGGCAGTCGGACAGATGGACTGACAGACAGGCAGTCGGACAGATGGACTGACAGACAGGCAGAAGGAAGAGGAGAGAGTGAGAAAACAAGTGGAAGAAAAGGGGGCGGAAGTCGAGCTCAGAGAGCCAGAAATTGTACAGAGAGAGAGAGAGAGAGAGAGAGAGAGAGAGAGAGAGAGAGAGAGAGTGTGTGTGTGTGTGTGTGTGTATGTGTGTGTGTGTGTGTGTGTATGTGTGTATGTGTGTGTGTGTGAGTGTGTGTCGGGGAAGGCAAGGCTTTAGGCTACGTGCAAAAATTAACAATTTAATTGTATTACTAAATCTACATGTATTTTGAATTGCCAGTCGTGCACGGGCTCAGCCATTAGCGTTGCGCATAAGGAGAGAGGTTTTTTTTCGCTTTTGTCGCACGCAACTGAACATTTTGACGCAATGTGGTCATGCATATGGATACACACCGAGCGACTCATCACAAGCGACTGTCGTGGGCGACTAAACATTGAGTCGCGCATAAGGAGACAATGGCTAAGACTTATCAGAGTCAAAACAAACTACATTATACTCTACATTCTGCTGATGAAAGCGTGAAACAGTTTCTTCACGCTCCATCTAATTCATGCACATGTCACCAAACTACTGTACCTTACGAAACTTTACGAATTGACTCGGGGTCAAACAGATCTATGCAAAAACATATCATTTCACGTCAGAGGTAAACGCATAACAATTGTAGTATAATACTTTGTATTGCATTTCATAAGTGGCAGTTGAGATGAATGTTTACTTTTGTATGCATGGCAATGTTCTATTTACGACTGGTCCACATTAACCATGTATACTTGGGCTGGGAGTTGGGTCTGAGTGAGGTGGTTCAGTGTAATGTTGTGTTCGAGGTTATGGTTAGGCCTTTTATCATTGTTTACAGCATAAACGATGAGTTCGATTCACATGACGTGTAGAAGCTGTTCCATGGACATATCAAGTCCATCTTTCTGTACAGATAAAGTCTCCGAATTGTATCCTAGGTTGACACTGACAGACGGTGTCTTCACAGCCTACATTAATTGTTCTTGTTCTGTTCTTGTTTTTGTTCTTGTTCTTGTTCTTATACTTGTACATGTTCTTGGCTTTGTTCTTGTGCTATTCTTGTTCCTAATCTTGCCATTGTTCTTGATTACGTGCACAATTTTTACACGTGATATCTATACTGTTCTTCTTTATCTGAGATGATTAGATTCTTAATCCTAAAACTATACAGTCAAGGAGGCTTAGGCGCCATGCTCCGACTCTCAGTTTACCGGTGATGCCGTAAAAAAATTTTCAAAGTCCCACGAAATCAAATCATCGCCTAAATTATGTTAATGATGACGCTAATATTATCCCCACTTTCTCCTCAAATTCCCTGCAGGTTTGACGAAGCCCTGGACCTAGTGGCCTCCCCTGAGGGCAAAGAGTTCACTCGAGACACGCACGTGTTTACCTCAGAGGTCACACTGGACGCCTCGGCTATCTCCATCTTCGATGACCACCTGGGAGAGGACTAGTCAGTGTCATACAACTTTTTTTCCGTTGATTCGCCCAACCATTCTTTCTTTTACCTATACATCCATCGGCCCATTCAAAAGTTTATTTCTTGTTCTTCTAAATATTCATCCATCTACCTATTTAACTATCGATCCCTCCAGCCATGCATTTATTCATCTTTCTAGATTCACCAATCTGTGATTTCACCTTGTCCTTCCATTCGCCTGTCAATCCATTTCTGTACCCATTCATTTAGTCCCTTGATTTCAATCAAGAGAAAAATATTAATACCATGCTTGATAACATGCATTTTAATGCATTAAATAGTTGAAGATTTAAATATAATGACACAACTCCATGAAATATATTTTTATATGAGACATAGACTCTTGATTTTAGAAGATATAGATTCCACACCGTAGAGATGGAGAAATATTTTTGTAAAACATAACAATTTTTGTTAAAAATAAATAAATAAATAAGATACTAACATGGAAGACAGAACGTAAAAGTGGTACAGATAGGCTCCTCTGTAACTGTGTACTACAAGGAACTGACCATTGGCTATAATAATATACAGGTATAAATTGTTCATAAACAAATTTTAATGAGGTGTCCAGTGAAAAAAACGGGCATAGCCACAAACTGAAAGTCTTGGGGGTATCAATTTTGAATACTGGTTGACTCATAACTATATTTCTGTTCAGCTGTTTGTTAATTATTGTCGTTAGATTTTCCATCCCACAAACATATAAAATAAACTACCAATCAAACAAAATATGAAGTTATGAGTCCACAAGCTTTTAAAATTGACTCCCTTGCATACAATTTCCAGTTTGGGACTATGCCCGTTTTTTCAGTGGACTCCTCAAATTCAAATGAGGGAGGGGGGGGGAGTATATGGAAGTAAGGAAGCAGACAATAATGTGTTGGTTATTATATTGTAATTAAGAACTTATGTTTAAAACAAATTAAGAAGCCCTCCTCCCTTTTCTCTCTGTCAATCTACTCATCCCCAGCTATGGCAGTGAGATCTACACCCTAGAGGAAGGAATGTCTTCTGTACCACAAGGACTGCTACAGACTTTCCTGGATGCCGCAGACTCGTAAGGACAGATTTGTTCTAGAACTTTTGTTTTTAAAGCTCAATATTTGCAAACCATAGGCCTACTACCGACTTGTGTGTTTATAATCAACTTAAGTGATCGAATGCATGATGGTTGTTTGTTTGGTTATTTTCATGCTTGTAAGTGTGTGTGTGCGTTGTGTTGTACGTGTGTGTTTTATTTGTTTGTTTGTGTGTGTGTGTGTGTGTGTGT